TGCCATAATTGATTCATGAGTATTGAGCCAAGTTTCAATACAATAGTCACTTATTAGGAGCGTCATTAGGCAAGGACTTTTTGCAGTCAGATCTGAGCTTTGTTTGAATTATAGCTGAACTTTACACCTGTTCTTTCCCTCCCCTCAGTCTGTGTGATAAATCACATTCCTCAATGAGGTGCACCCCTCCCAAGCCTGCTGCAGTAATCTGAGATCCAACTCTAGCCGAAAGTATGCGTGGAATGCGCTCCTCCCCCCTTCCTTCACCATGACAACTTTAGGAGTTGACAGTCAGGCTGATAGGTCTGTAGTTTTCTGGATGTATTTTTTTTCCTTTTTTGAAAATGGGAACTACATCAGTTCTTTTCCAGTCCTCTGGCAGTTTCCCAGTGCCCCAGGATCTTTGAAATATATAGTTCATTGGTTCTGAGATCTCATCTGCTAGTTCCTTCAGATCCCTGGGGTGTAATCCATCTGGTCCTGGTGATTTGAACTCATCTAGGGTAGACAGGTGCTCACTTACCATTTTCTTCCCTATTTTAACTTGTGTTTTTAATATGTTTTTTGTGGTTCTGTTTTCGATAGGTTGGACTGTTTTTTCCCTTTGTGTAAAGACAAATGCAAAAAATGAGTTAAGTAGTTCTGCTTTCTCCCTGTTGCTTGTCACCTTCTTGCCACTTTCTCCCAGCAATGGACCAATTGTTTCCTTNAGGGTTAGGTTTAGGATTAGGATTAGGTTTAGGGGTTAATTTTAGGTTTAGTGTTTACAGCGTGCTTCTGTCTCCGTGCTGTTGTCGCCCTGTTGATGATGTCAGCTACGCGGTTTCGTCGAGCGCACTTTAGTCGAACGCGGTTTTGTGGTGGAACCTGTCACTTTTGCCTTAGATCAAGGGGTCAGCAACCTTAAAAGAGTCAGAGCCATTTGGACCCATTTCCCACAGAAAAGAAAACACCAGGAAGCATAAAACCCCTTTGACATGTAAAAAGAGGATAACGCTGTATATATCGGGTATTTTTTTTACCTTTATGTTATGTATAAAAATAACCTATAGCATGTATGAAATCAATGATACAGAGAAAACACATTTTTATTTCTGCATACAACAAAAACATTTTGAACTCCGGAAAAAAAGTTGGGTCGAAAAGCTCAATAAATAGCATGCTGGCAGGTGTCACACATTGTTGTGATGCATATTTTGAGTGACAGAGAGCCGCAGCAGAGGGATGAAAGAGCCACAGGTTGCAGACCCCTGACTTAGATGGTGCCTGAAGTCCACCCGCGTTGGAAAGTGGCCACCCAAAATGTTAACCTCCCCCCCCCCCCCAAACAAGGTCACTAAGTTATTCCTCCTCTGAATTCTTGAGGATTGCTGTTTAAATGTGGCTTTTAAAATTTACCAGATAAGAACTTCCATGAGCAGAGTTGACCTTCAAGAAGCATTCTGGAGGACATGTTCCAAAAAATAAGACAGGTTCAGGCCAAAACTAAATGTAATTTACTTTAAACTTAATTAAAAATGTAATACAATTACTGTTAACCAGTACTATTGATAGCGACATTTGACTGACCTTGGCTAATCTCCCAAAAACACTTATCCAGGGTTGAACGTGGCTAGTATTTCAGCAAGGGACACATCACCGAATCACTAAGTTGGAGACATGACTAGGTTAAACAAATGCTAAAGGAGTCCCTGTGGGTTTTGTTTCGCTAGTTGTTACCAACTACCCTGTTTTCCCAAAAATAAGACCTCCCCGGATAATAAGCCCAATCAGGCTTTTGAACGCATGCGCTAAAATAAGCCCTCCCCTGAAAATATTGCAACACAGCAGCCGCCATGAGGTGACCAAGCTTGCCGCCTTCTGCACCTCAAAAATAATAAGACCTCCCAAAAAATAAGGCTAAGGGCTTATTTCAGGGGGGATGTCAAAAGAAAATGAGACCCTGTCTTATTTTTGGGGAAACGCGGTATAAGGGGGCAGTGCTTATTTCTGTTTCTGCCATTGAGACTGCGCTGTCTGAAGACACTTCCATGGTCATGTGGCCAGGCATGATGTCATGGAACATGGTTCACCGACAAATGCGCGCTCGACAAAAGCGTGCCGACAAAACCATGGGGAGAAAAGCGCGAGTTCGAAATCGCGCCGAAGAATGAACACAGAAGCGCGCCGACAGAAGCGCGCTCTAAACCTAACCCTAAAGGTAACCCTAAACCTAAACCTGAACCTAACCCTGAACCTAACCCTAAACCCTAACCCTTACCCTTACCCTTATCCTAACCCTTAACTTAACCGGTTCACCGACCCTTACCTTAACGGTAATGGCGCTTCTGTCGGCACTCTTTTGTGAGCGCACCTTTGTGGGCGTGCTGTCAACGTCGCGGTTTTATCGGCGCAGTTTTGACGGCGCGGTTTTATCGGGTTACGATGGAACATGACATCACGGAATGCTGTTACTTTCCCACCGAACTGGTACCTATTTATCTACTCCCATTTGCCTGCTTTTGAACTGCTAGCTTGGCAGGAACTGAGGCAAGGACGGGAACTTGGCGCTTGGGTCTCAAACATGGGCTGCCCGCTTTCCAGCCGGCAAAGTCCAAAATCTTAAAAACTGAGCCACCAGTGCCGTCTCAGCATGATTAAGAAGTCAATACTTAGTCCAGTCGTGCTTCTGCATCATTGCCAAAATAACAAAATAGACGATCCACCCATCCACCAGGAGTTGGGCTGAACTCAAAGGAAACGTTATCTTTGCTTTGAGGATTCCCTACCGCCGTTCACAATTTTCCCTTCCCTTCCCTTAAAAACAACAACATTTTTGAAGGGGTTTATCAACCCAGAGGGCCTCGATTGCACACTCATATCCTAGAGCTGCTGAAGAATTTGTTCGCCTAATTGTGATTGAAATATCTTTTCCATCTGGGGGTTGGATAGAGTAGTTGTGCTCCAGATTTCACATTTTTGGGAAGTCCTGGTTGATACATTTGATAAAATGGAGCTTAGGACCATCTCACCGTGAGAACGGAGAACATGGAGTCTCCTTACATCAAGGCAGAAAGCATTTGTTAAGTCTTCCGGAGCCAATTGGAGAAAATCAGAAAGGGTAAAACTTACCTAATTGGCGCCCATTCTTATCAAGTGATATCAGACCCAGACATAAAATATTTTTTTCACCTCTTTTCCTTTCTTTTCCACGCTCTTTTGCCAGACTGATTCTCCGCTTGCAGATGTGTCTCCCTAACCGTGCTTCTGCCGCCATTTGATTCGTGCATGCCCTTTGTACAAGTAGTCCTCGGCTTACGACAGTTCGCTTAGCGACCGTTTGAAGTTACAACGGCACTGGGAAGAAAGTGCCTGCCGGCCATTTTTCACACTTAACGACCGTTGCGGCATTCCCGTGGTCAGGTTGATTTATCTTCGGATGCTTGACAGCTGACTCACATTTGAGCCGCCCAGAGTCCCTAAGGAGTGGGCGGCATACAAATCTTATTAAAGTCTTATTATTAAAGTTTTACGACGGTTGCATGGTCCCAGGGGGGGCCCCGTTATCCCCTTTTGCGACCACCCGTTGAGCAAAGCCAATGGGGGAAACCAGACTCGCTTAACCAACTGCGTTACTCATTTAACAACTGCAGTGATTCCCTTAACAAGTGTGGCGAGAAAAGTCACAAAACGGGGCAAAATCCACTTGACAAAATTTAAGATT